TACCGCTGACGAAGCTTCTGTGAGAGAAGCGAAACGTCCTTTTTTGTTTTTGTTTTTTACCCACAGGTACAGATGACAACTGACGGAACACTTTCTACGATGGAACTTTCCTGTACGACTGAGAGCCTCCACGAGCTACACCGGTGTAACTTTGCAGGTGTGAACGCTCTACTGGGGTAGTCCCAATGTAGCACCGGAGCAAATGTTGCCGTGTGAACACCCCTAGAGCCTCTGCCATGGAGGTTAAGACACACCCAGCTCAACATGTCAATTAGTTATGACGCGCCCCCTTGGCCATCACTGGCTGGTTCATTCTCTGCACAATTTAAAAACTTATACTTTATACTAATTGTGTTTACTTTTTTCTGTTTTCAATAAATGCATGTTTTAATGTCTTGAATTTGTAAAAAAAAAAAAAAAAAAAACTACTTATTTTTCACTCATGAAGGGCTCAATGAATGTGCATATGAACTGGTTGGGTTCGGACCCTCTAACAAGGTTAAGAACCACTGTTCTAGATAATTCTACTGTAATTTGCTTTTTCTTTAAGCAATGGGATATTTATTTTATTTACTGTAATTTCCGCACTACAAAGCACACCAGATTTAAACACGCAACAGCTAAATTTAGCCATAGAAAAGTACACATTCAGGAGGCCACTAGGAAGAGTTCAATCAATCCCTACCAATATTCTAAATAGACAATCTCTGTCTTGATACTGCATATCATGTGATGTTTAAATCGATCTCCACGTGTCACACGGCTGTTCCGATTAATGTAGTGGTGCACATAAACAGCAATTCAGAAAATATCACGTCAGATGTAATCAGTGTTTTCATTCAGTTTGTTCTTGAGTTTTCATTCTAACTGGACTTGATGGATCCATGTAAAGTTTACATTGTAAACCATGCCTGATATGAAGATTCAGTATGAGTGTGACCTCGGACAGTTTCATTGGTCCACGGTAACATGTTCGGAAATTTCATTGGTCAAATGTGACGAGACTATTGGGAAATGTATTGGTGGTATGAAGCTCTTTCGTAAAAACTACATGAATTAACCGTGTCACAATTACAGTACATTATATTGGAAATCAGATTTTATTATAAAGCCATATCACCCAGGCCAAATTTGTCCTGAAATATTCTCTCCCTGACCTCCATGCTAACGTTGTACCTCTCCAAACCAAAGTACACGATGTGTGGTATGAATGCTATCAATGACAATGATTTAGATGCATAATGTTGAATAAAGTTCTGTTACCTTCAATCGGTCTTGTCTCTTACACATCTTCCCATTGCCTAATGGTGCATTACAATAGTGGCTGACAGGAGTGAATTGCCCAGGGAAAGAGATGTATCTGCATCTGCTCTCAACCTTAAGCTCCTTGTTTTCCACCTCCTCTTCCACATCAGCTGGAACCCAGAATTGATGCTGAGAGGCTGATCTGAGAATTAAACACACAAGAAGATTTGTATGTAGATACAAAAGTTACAGTTTGGATGTATCCGGACGGTTTTACAAATTCCAGGTACAGTACTTGGTGATCTTGCCAGAGTTAGGCTGCTCCTGGCCCCAGTAATACAAATCCAAACCAAATGGAACGACTGGAGCCTGAGAAGTTGTTTGGTCTTTGTTGGACTGAGTTGAACTGGGTTCAGAAGTGCTACTGCAAGAAAAAAAAAGAAAATGTGAGTAACATTTTCAACAATTTCAATACTAATGCAATTTGTGTTTATTTCCACAATACAACAAAGAGACAAAAAAATCAGATGTGCATGCAAGAAAAAGATATCAAAGTGAGAGGTCTGCTAAAAGGTGCTGAACTCTTGAGCACTTTGAGGGTTTAGTACCAATTAGATGAGCGGCTCGGTAGCAAATAACTCCAATTTAAACCTTCTACTGTACATTTATCTTAATACCAAGCTCGGGAGACATGTAAGTGGCTATAAAGATGAGCTTTTTTTAATCGTGGAGTTTTTGACTAGTTTCAAACAATATCAACATGCCTTGCTGTTGTGTGTCAAATTGGAGTGGGGAGGGATTCATTATTTTTTTTCTCTCTTCCAAGTGGAAGCAAGCCATTTCAAAAACACGGGAGGAGCCTTTGGCTTTTGTCACGCACAGACGAAAGGACATAATCAGGACTGCCCGCGTTTGGGATACTCATTTCATATCGGGGAAGTGATTGCGGCCATTTGGTTTAAAACTTAACCTTCATGGAAATGTTGAGTAAGTAGTCAGGAATTAGTGATAATGATGAGGGGTTTGCTACCAGTGCAAGCTAGTACCTAGTAGCCAACTCATTCAGCAATGAGCTTCGGTGCACATTAGCTCCATGTAAATTAAGCTCTTATTCATTAATTTAGCATTATTTGTTATGAAGTTAAGCTTAGCGGTTTTCCCTGGGCATCCGAGAACACCTGAGTAATTTAAAAGTAGCGATACAATGCGGTCCCACCGAGATTGCCATCACAATTTGATGTGATTCTCAGTTACCTTTTATATAACGAGGAAAAAAACAAACAAACAAACAAACAAACAAACAAAAAAAAAAACGAGTCAGCTGTGATGATGCAGTTCTCCTTTCTGTCTCTCGAGTGTAAACACTAGGTTTCCTCACTAAAAAAAAGATGAAAATCTAGCCACTGGACATCAGGCCATATTGTAAAATCTTCTTTGTAATCCCATTTGCATTGATTCATTTTTGCAATCCTTTTTAGTGAGTCAGCTTGTGGACAAAATAAAACCCGTTGTTCTTTCTCCACCAACAATGCAAAAGACAGCCTGATTATGTCATCTTCATCTTCCCCAGGGTGGGAGGCAGGAGCCGGAAATCAACTGACCAATTTATAATATACCTTTGAGGTATATGTAATCGCCCAAGACCTACAAAAAGTCTTTAGGAGCCATACGCTAAAGTTAACAGGAAGTCTGCCATCTTGAATTTTCTTTCACGTTTGGACCCATTTTTGGTCTTTTAGAGAGGTCACATTTTTCATTTTGATGGCCTTAACATTTGTGAAAACATGAAACCTGTCACACGTGTTTGTCCAAATAATCACTATGCTATGAGAATTGTATTTAATTTTTTTTTTTTTTGCGGTTAAAAAAAAAACAAATGCCTTAGTTGGGCCCTCTAAAAAACAGTCCCTGTTGAACTTTTCTCCAAGATATATTAAAGGTTGGAGGCACGTGTAACAGCCCAAGACTAGAAAAAAAGTCTCTGGCGCTCTACTCGAAACTCAAAAGGAAGTTGGAGATTCATTTTCTGAAAATTTTTATCAACCCTTTGGCCGTTTATAAAGGTCATCATTCATCAAAATAACTTTTAATCTGATTGACTTTATTTTCTAAAAATTTCAATTCCAATGTGTGACCTGAAGACACCTACATGGTAATACCAGGGGTGTCCAAAGTCGGTCCTCAAGGGCCGCTGTCCTGGCTGTTTTCCAGATCTCCCAGAAGCAACACACCTGATTCAAATAATCAGGATCATGCTAATGCTGCTTCAGAGCTGGCTGATGTGCTGATCATCTGAATCAGGTGTGTTGCAGCCGGGAGAGCTAGAAAACAGGCAGGACAGTGGCCCTCCGGGCCTGCCTGCGTTGTACATACAGTGCCACTTAGTGATGACTAGAAATGTCATGAGCCACAATTTAATAAGCCTGTTGAAAGAATCTAACAGAAATTTTGACACACGTACATATATATACTAGTGCTGTCAAACGATTAAAATATTTCATCGTGATTAAAAACGTAACGTCACAATTAACTCATAATTCTCAAAATTAATCGTGATTACTCACACATTTTTTTATCATTTCTAAATTTCCTTTTATATTTTTTCTGTCCTATTTGTTCCCGTTTTAATGCTCTCATCAAAATGGAATCATGGATCAGTTTTCTGTGTGCAAAATGCAAATATTTCCGAAAACAACATTTTCGATTTTCAATTTTACATGAACATTTTTCACTTGGAGCAGTTATTCACACAATCTTTCACACAATATTACTGTCCATCAACAGCAGTGAAAGAAGTATTTTGTCACACAACAGCTCCTTTAACAGCTCGTTTTAGGGAATCAAAACAGAGCCATATAAAATTATAAAGTGCACATCTAAGGTAAACTAGTACTCAGCCTATAGTGGATTTAAGCCATGGTTCCATACTTAATTTTTCTCAAGTTTGCTTTGAACACAGCAGTCAGGCTATGTTGATTCTGTTGGTCCTTCTTGCGCGGAAGTCTCTCTATGGTTTTGTGTAGACATCATTTCGGATGACTCCACTTGGTATAAAAACTTGAAATTTTTGGTCAAAAACCGATTTGGTCGAGAACAGAGACGTTCGAAAACCGAGGTTTGACTGTGTGAGTGTGTATATAAGATAAGATAAGATAAGATAAGAAAACCTTTATTAGTCTCGCAATGGAGAAATTCCCAATTCACAGCAGCAAAGTTATGAAAGGAAGAAGTAGAACAACAAAATATAGG